AATGCAAAGTTGTTGTAACATTTAAAAATCAATTTATTTCAAAGTACAATTTTATTTTGCATGGTTAAAGTACAAACTATTTCCACTTCCCTTGAAAAACAGTATTGTATCTAAATTGGAATATATTGCTGAGATATATAGCTGAAAACATACAGTTCGTTTAATGATTAACATTTAAACAGATAATATTACACAAGTAGATTCAATAGAAGTGAATATACATATATATTATCCAAATTTTTAATAGTCTAGAGAATATATTACAGACTAGGCATAGAGGCTCATGCCTGTAATTTCAGCACCTTGGGAGGCAAAGGCAGGAGGATTGCTTGAGGTCAGGAGATTGAGACCAGCCTGGGCAACTTAGTGAGATGCTGTATCTACAAAACTAAAAACAACAACAACAACAACAACAAAAAACATAGCTACCCATAGCTGTGTGTGCCTGTAGTCCCAGATCCTTTGGAGCCCAGGAGGTTGAGGCTGCAGCACACCATGGTCATGCCACCATGCTCCAGTCTGCACACAGAGTGAGATCCTGTCCAAAAAAAAAAAAAAAGAATATATTACAGCATTAAAAATATGGAGGGAAGTATTTTGTTTTACTTTTAAATTTAAAATTCTTCTGATTGTTCTACACAGAGAGGCTTAAAGGTGAAAAGGCAATCAGGTTACCACCAAAGGAAATGGGTCTGATATGTTCTTGATGTCTCCTCTCCGGCTAAATGAATTAACAAGGTGGCATTTGGTAATGAGATTTTTATTACCAAATAGAACTGACTGAGAAATGTTAGTTTGTGAAATGTTATTTTGTGATAGTATAATTTTTTCAGAGCTACTCATTAAAACATTCTGAGGTGTAATTGGAAAATTTACTTTCCTTCTTACCCCAACATCTGAAATTTCTTCTTTTCTGTCAGTATTAACTGCTATTCCATCAGCAAGAAGAGGTAAACTCATTATTTCACTGGATAAACAATCCATCTCAACATTTATTTTATTTACATCATGGTTTACTTCAATTAAGTGTGGTAATCCAGGACACTGATTATCTCCTATTATGCTGTTCCTGCATTCAGGAGTATTTGATAACAAAGTCTAAAAGTTGATTTTAAAAAGTCTTTATGACATCTGGGACTAAATAAATTGATTAACTTACAAATTATTGGTATTACTGTGGGGGAATAGAGATAAAAGTTATAGAAAACATTTTTAAGGAAGTAATAGGTGTAAACTTTTCAAGTTCAGCAAGAGAGTTAGGCATTGAGGCAGAGAAACCCAGTGCTACTCAGGCAAACACATTGCAAAAATTACTTTACCATGAAATATTGTATTCAGAATGTCTAAAGTTCAAGTAAAAGAAATAGTTTTAAAATTAACAAGAAAAATGCATCTAGTAAGCTATGAAGGAAACTCCATTAGATTAACATTGAACTTTCCAGCAGAAAACCTTACAGGCCATAAGAGAATGAAACCATATTTTTAAGGTGCTAAAAGAAAAACACTGTCTGCCAAGAATTTTATTTGGAATAAGCCTCACAAATGAAGGAGAAATAAAGTTTTATTCATATAAGCAAATGCTAAGTGAATTTGCCACTAGACTAGCAATACAGGAAATGCTCAAAGAAGCCTTAAATATGGAAATGAAAGGTTGACATTCACCATCATAAAAACCCATGGAAGTATAAAACACACAGTTGTCAGACAACAAGCACACAAAGGAGGAAGAGAAAGAATGAAATGGCAACATGGCAGAATTTTCTGAAACCACAAAGACAAAAAGAGAAAAAAAGGGAAACAAAAATTTGTAAAAACAATTAACAATATTACCAGGATAATGAATCACATATTAATATTAACCTTGAATACAAATGGACTAAATGCTGAACTTAAAAAATACAGATTGATAGAATGGACTTAAAAAATGATCCAACTATATCCTGCTTAAAAGAAACTTGTATAACCAATAAAGGTACATACACACTGAAAGTAAAGGGGTGGAAAAAGATATTTCACACAAATGAAAACAAAAAGTGAGCAGGAGTAGCTATACTTATATCAGCTAAAGTAGACTTTAAATCAGAAACAATTAAAAAAAGACAATGAACGTCATTATATGATAAAGGGATCAATTTGGCAAGAGGATATAACAGTTCTAACTATACATGTACCTAACACTGAAGTATCTAAATTTACAAAACAAATATTACTGGACCTAAAAAAAATACATAGAAAGGAATACAATAATAGTCGTTGACTTCAACATCCCACTAACAGCTCAGAATAGATCATTGAGACAGAAAACTAACAAAGAAACATTGGACTTAAATTAGACCTTAGATCAAGTGGACTAAACAGACACTTACATAACATTCTACACAAGAATTACAGACTACAAATTATTTTTATCAGTACATGTAACATTTTCTAAGATAGATCATATATTAGGCTACAAAACAAGTCAATATATTTTAAAAATTAAAACCCCATCAAGTATCTTCTCACACCACAGTGGAATAAAGCTAGACATGAATACCAAGAGAAACTCTGTGAATTAAACAAATACATAGAAATTAAATAGCATGCTCCTGCACAATCATTGTGTCAGAGGCTTTCAAACCAGAGTGACTCCATTTTGAGTGAGGACTAGGAAAATGAGGCTGAGACTCGCTTGGCTGCGTTCCCAGAAAATTAGAAATTCCTAGCCTCTAGATGTTTACTGTTAAGGGAACAAATTAATGAGGTTTACTGAAACAGACCCAGACTTGGGCATGTCCAGATATCCCCATATCTGGAGAACAGGGGCATTCCTAATTTTGCTTTAAAGATAATAATATTAGGCCGGGCACGGTGGCTCAAACCTGTAATCCCAGCACTTTGGGAGGCCGAGACGGGCGGATCACGAGGTCGGGAGATCGAGACCATCCTGGCGAACA